ACATCAATAGATAAATCTTCCAGACAGAAAATCAACAAGGAACCAGTGGCCTTATGTGACACACTAAATCAAATGGAATTGATATGTTCAGAACATTTCACCCCAAAGCAGCAGAAGAGACATTCTTTTCAAGTGCACATGGAATATTTTCTAGGATAGACCACATGTTAGGACACAAAACAAGTTTCAATAAATTTAAGAAGACTGAAATCATATCAAGCATCTTCTCCAATCACAATGGTATAAAAATAGAAATAATCACAAGAAAAAAACTGAAAAATATACTAAGACATGGAGGCTAAATAACATGCTACTAAACAATGTGTTAACAATGAGATAAAGAAATAAATCAAAAGATACCTTAAAGCAAATAAAAATGAGAACAAAACAACCCCAAGTCTATGGGACACAGCAAAAGCAGTCCTAAGAGGGAGATTCATAGCACTGCAGGCCTATCTCAAGAAATAAGAAAAATCTAAAATATACAATCTAACTTTACAGTTAAAGGAACTTGGAAGAGAACAATAAAAAAGCCCAAAGTAATTAGAAGGAAAGAAATAATGTAGATCAGAGCAGAACAAAATGAAATAGTCTAAAAAAATTACAAAAGATCAATGAAACCAGAGCTGGTTCTTTGCAAAGATAAACAAGATTGACAAACATTTAAGCAGACTCATCAAGAAAAAGAGAGGACCTAAATAAAATCAAAAATGAAAGAGAAGTAACAACTGACATCAAAGAAATACCAAGAATTATAAGAAAATATTACAAACAATTATATACAAAAAAATTGGACAATCTGGAAGAAATAGATAAATTCTGAGAAACATAAAATCTTCCAAAACTGAATCAGGAAGAATCAGAGAATCTGAATACACAGATTACTAGTACAACTAGTGAAATTGAAGCAGTAATCAAAATACTCCCAGAAAAGGAAAGTCCTGAACCCGGTAGCTTCACAGGTAAATTTTACCAAACATTCAAAGAAGAACTAACACCTATCCTTCTCAAACTACTGAAAAAAAATCAAGAGGAAAGACTCCCAATCCTATTGTCATGATGCACCTTCTCATCCACCACACACCTCTGTCCTGCCCTCAGGTGACAGATGTGCAAACTCAGTGTGGTGTCCAGGTTGTACTAGATTTCTTTGCATATACAGCAATCCAGTACCTGGTAATGGACTGAGAGGAGTGAAAACCTGAAGAAAGGCCCAGAGTCAGTGCTAGATTACCCTAAAGGCCAACTAAGCAAGTGCTTAGGTCATCAGCAGGGAAGGAGCCCCCAGCAATTACAGAAAAAGATCATTGGGAGAAAAAGATCATTGGTAATGTTTGATACTTAAATTTGATATTCAAAGAAACAGCAAAATCAACATCATGGGAAAAACAATAGCTTTGCCATCAATATTTATCATGAAATACATATGGCAAGTGGATATAAATAATGGTACTTAAAAAAGAGTATGTATTCAGTTGCTGAAGACAGAATTCTATATATCTCCATTAGGTAAAATTTATTAAATCATGATTTGCAAATCTTATATATCCTTACTAATTTTTGTCTGCTTGTTACTAATTTCTCCTTGTGGTTCTGCCATTTTTTTCCATTACATTTTGAAGCCATGCTATTAGGTTCATAGTTAAAGTTGTTAAATCTTCCTGATGAATTGTTTTCTACATGACCTATTCTTTATTTCTACAATGCTTGTTTATGTTAAATCTTATTTTTGCTATTTTGTGAAAAATCTCTTTTGCCCATCTTTTTACTTTCAACTCTTCTAAATTCTTATGTTTTAGCTGTATTTCTTGTAAACAGCTATATCAGTTATTTGTACTGTGTAACAAAAAGACAGAAAGTGTTCAAATGCTTAAAAGTTAAGAAATACACCTAGAAGTAATCCATAAGCCAAATAACTCAGAATAAGAATCAGAAAATATCTTGAGTTGAATGACAAAAATTATATCAAAACGTGTGGATGAAACTAAAGTCCTATATAGAGAATGTTATCATTTAAAAGTGTACATTAAAAAGGTTGAAATTTCCTGACCGGTTTGGCTCAGTGGATAGAGCATCGGCCTGCAGACTAAAAGGTCCCAGGTTCGATTTCGGTCAAGGGCATGTACCTTGGTTGCGGGCACATCCCCAGTAGGGGGTGTGCAAGAGGCAGCTGATTGATGTTTCTCTCTCATCAATGTTTCTAACCATCTCTCTCCCTTCCTCTCTGTAAAAAAAATCAATAAAATATATATTTTTTAAAAGGTTGAAATTTAATGAACTAAACATCTACCGCAGGAGTTAGAAAAATAACAGCAAATTAAACAGAAAAGAATAATACAGGTCAGAATAAAATTAACAAAATATAAAAGAAAAATAGGATCAGAATAGCCAAAAGTTGGTTAATTTTGAAAAGACTAATAAAATTGGTAAACATATGGCGAGACTGGTTAAAATGCAAGAGAGAGGGCACAAATTATTAAATTAGTGTTAAGAATAAAATTGGCAGCATCACTACAGATCCTGCAGACATTAAGAGAATAATGGGGCGGGGCGGAGACGCAGATAATGAGAGAGTATATAGGCAACTTTGTGTAATGAATTTTAGATAACATGGCCACAGTTCTATAAAAATAAAACTTAGCCCTAGCCAGTTTGGCACAGTGGATAGAGCATCAGCCTACGGAAGGGTCCCCGGTTAGATTCTGGTCAAGAGCACATGCCTGAGTTGTGGGCTCAATCCCCAGTAAGGGGTGTGCAGGAGGCAGCCAATCAATGATTCTCTCTCAACATTAATGTTTCTATCTCCCTCTCTCTTCCTCTCTGGAATCAATAAAAATATATTATTAAAAAATAAAATAAAAATGGACATGGACAACAGGGGGATGGGAGCAAGAGTGTGTGGGGGGGGGGAGCTGATCGATGTTTCTCTCTCATCGATGTTTCTAACTGTCTATCTCTCTCCCTTCCTCTCTGTAAAAAATCAATAAAATATATTAGCAAAAAAATATTTTAAAATAAATAAATAAATAAATAAAAACTTATCCAAACTGAAGAATAGAAAAGAAGAGGTGGTGGGGAGATGGGTGAAAAATGTGAAGAGATTAAGAAGTACAAACTGCCAGTTATAAAGTTAGTCATGCAACACTTTTATAAACCAGCTCTAAATAGAACATGAAGTTTTTTAAGATACCATTTACAATAGTATCAAGTTCCTAGAAATAGATTTAACAAAAGATGTGCATGACAAATGTAAAGCTTTATTGAGAGAATTTAACAAGCCATGTTATCAATATAACAGCAGCATGTGTAGCTTCGGCTTGTCTTCTTTTTTAATGGCTCACGGTCCATCACCTAAAATAAAAATATAACAGTTGTGTAGATTACTTAGCAGACTTTTACTTACATGATAATAAAGGTATACAAAGAATATTACAATTTTGGTTTTGTAAGATAAAACTAAAATCAGAACCCTAACCACTGCACAGACTTCTATGCTAATGTACACTTTCAGGCATATAAGCACAATTTTTTTAAATGCTTCACTTTTTGGTGGTATAAAGAAACAGATTTCTCGCCGAAACCGGTTTGGCTCAGTGGATAGAGCGTCGGCCTGCGGACTGAAGGGTCCCGGGTTCGATTCCGGTCAAGGGCATGTGCCTGGGTTGCGGGCACATCCCCAGTGGGGAGTGTGCAGGAGGCAGCTGGTCGATGTTTCTCTCTCATCGATGTTTCTAACTCTCTATCTCTCTCCCTTCCTCTCTGTAAAAAATCAATAAAATATATTAAAAAAAAATTAAAAAAAAAAGAAAGAAACAGATTTCTCAAGCCCAGAAAATCAAATCCTATGTGCCTTTTTAAAGATAACTTTTTGAATCAAGAGCAAAAACTGCCAATGATTTTAGTTAAAATAAAATCAACCAAACAAAAACTCCAAGAAGCAAAACAAACAAGCAAACAGTATTATTCAAATGCATTGACTTGAAATATTCTTCTAATTATATACATTAGTTAAAATAATGATGTCATACTATTTAATTAAAGAGACCACAAAGAACATCATTGCATTTGATTTGTCTCTTTTGTGCAAACATATTTCATTGATCTAGATCAGTGATGGCGAACCTTTTGAGCTCGGCGTGTCAGCATTTTGAAAAACCCTAACTTAACTCTGGTGCCGTGTCATATATAAAAATTTTTTTATATTTGCAACCATAGTAAAACAAAGATTTATATTTTTGTTATTTATTTTATGTATTTAAATGTCATTTAACAAAGAAAAATCAACCAAAAAAAGAGTTCGCATGTCACCTCTGACACGCGTGTCATAGGTTCGCCATCACTGATCTAGATCAATCTTTATATGGCCTATTTATAGTAAGGTGGCCATTTATTTCACTTGCACCTGTTGTCCTGATGTAAGTAGTCATAGCACTCCCGTTTAACTCTCAAGAGTAACCTGGTTTGAATGATAAAAATTACATGGTCACACTAGTTTTAATGTCATCATAGATGCCATTCAAATGTGAAAGAAAATAGTACCATTTCTCATCCTGGCTCACAATTAAAAATACAACAACAAACCAACCTAGAAAAGTCAAAACATACAGATCCATATTATTTTTTGGTGTCTGTAAAATAAAGTGATTTTTGAGAAACAGATCTGGCAAATAAAAAAATAATAATACTATTGTGTTGTTTAGATCTCCAAATAGTACTAAGGCATGTTAAATAATTTATATACTCTAAAAAATATTTGATCACTTGTCTTGCATTTTAAAGGACTTCTTCTCCAAAGTAATAATACTTTCATGTTTTATAATTTAACAACATGGATAACTTAATTCACTGTTTTTCCTGACGCAGTCTTTGAATCAAGTATTTGGTGCATGAACAACCTTTCGAGAAATCTTTGTATGTGTGTTGTGTTACAAAAGTATAATAATATTGTAGAATAGAGCAACCCCATGACTTGCATTCTTAATGGAATAACGTACCTTTTGGAGTTTTAGCAGGAGCCAGAATAGCTGGATTCTTCTCGTCTGCCTCACTGCCATCTGCAGGCTCATCACGAGGTCTTCCCAGAGCCATTTTCTGGCTTTCACCTTCCAATTCAGGTTTGTATATAAGTAAAGAGAGTTATTAATATAAGTAGTAAACCACACATTAATGCTATTAAATAAATCTCTGTAGGTTAGTATTGCAATAAATGTGATACATAAGAAAGCAATGAGCATTAAAGGGTTTTCTGGTAGAAAATAAAGTTTTATTTCTCATATTACCTCCTCCATGAAGTGTTTCTTTTTCTAAAACTGTTTTAAAATAACTTAGTTGTCACCTTTGTAAACTATATACTCTTGTATTATTGCACCTATATCATTAGCTATTTGTTTACACAAATTTCTCTGACAAGACTGTGAGCTCAAGACAGAAATCATTCTCTCATTTCTATTTATATCCTCAGCACCTAGTACCTCACCTGCCACCAAGCAAGTCCCAACAAATGAGTGAAAAAAAAGTCTTAGCCGGTTTGGCTTAGTGGATAGAACTTCAGCCTGAGGAATAAGGGGTCCAAGGTTCTATTCTGGTCAAGGGCAAGTACCTCAGTTGCAGGCTCCTCCCCCACCCCATTCCTGGTCAGGGCTCATACAGGAGGCAACCAATCGATGTGTTTCTCTCACATGGATGTTTCTCTCTGTCTTTCACTCTCTCTCCTACGCTCCCTAAAAATCAATGGAAAAATATCCTCGGGTGAGGATTAATAAAAATAAATAAATAAATAATGAATATATGCCTTGGTCAGCATGCTCAATGGTTAGAGCATCAACCTGCTCTACTGGAGGGTCTTGGGTTCGATTCCCCATGAAGGGCATGTACCTGGGTTGCAGGTTCAATCCCCGCCACCTGCCAGTGTGAGTATAGGAAGCAACCATTGATTTGCTGATATAGACCCTTGGCAAGGATTGTATTTACCAGGTGTAGCAAATAATTTAAAATATGGGATGGGTAAACTTATTGGAGGGAAAATTATCAGAGAAAGGGACTACAGTTGCAAACTATACCTTTCCTTACCAGATAGGTTTCCAGCCACTTTTCAGGTGACCCTTTATTTATTCCTGTTACTAGTAAACATCATAAATTAAACACAAAATGTTCCTTTATCCCCTTTTCACCTTCAATCGCAGATGCTCCCTCTTCTCTCTTTTGTCCAGGTTCCTTAGAAGGACTCCCAACTGGTGGTTCCTCCTCAGATTTTTTGTCACTTGGTTGCTGGGCCTTGTGGGAGAGTACATACAAATGAAAAGTATTCTTTTCACTATTATAACAATAGAAGGCACAAGTATATATACTATGTTGCATAACTAATCACAAATCTAAAGAGGTTTTTCTTGTACTCTTCTCTGTAAGCACTCTTAATAAAGTTACTCTTCCTATATAAAAAATACTCTAAGGAAGGGCTTAGCTGCAAGAAACAAGAATTCTAAAAACCATTTTAATATTTTCTGGTGCTATTTATTAATACACACAATAGGGACGCTATAGGGATGATTCCCAGGCTCATGTCAATATACATATGCAGGCAACACCAGAATATAAGTCTCCTTGCTCAATGTCTCATTCATAACGTTCAGTTTTCACCTATTTTAGCAATGAGGTCCTTTATACAACAAATATGTATTGGTTCAACAACTTTTTCAATTTTTTCCAGAAAAATTAATTTTTCTGAATGGAGGTAAATGTTAGAGCACTCACAACCACAGGTTTAACTTCATCTAAAGACTCTTGACCATCTGGTCTTCCTCTAGATCTTGATCTCAGTCTTGCATTCATGGTTCACACTGAAAATAAAAAATCATCAAGTTAAGATGTAGTGAAAAACAATAATTATACTGGACTGTTTCCCTGACCAACTGGTGATTATAAATTCTTTTTTACATTTGGTTAGATTCCCAAAATAAATCTTGAATAATAACTTCCGTAAAAATAGTAATAATAATAATAATAACTGCTGTTTTCTAATCATGTAATATTCAATGCAATTTCTCTCACCGCCTATTAGGGAGAGAGGGGACCCTTCAATACTTTTTAAAAAGTACGACTTTACTAAAGAGATTTAGTTTCACAAGTAGACTCTCCAGTATAAACAGATTTTGTAATATATAAGCATGTCCAGCTCTCCACTGACAACCACCAATTCTGTGCTCTGTCGGCAGTTTCAGGTGCCTCCAAGAGTCAGGTACCTCCAACACCACCCCCAAGACTCGCCCCATCTCCTTTAGACCCCCTGCCCGTCACCGCCCACCATTCGTCCTTGTCCTAGCCCCGCAGTAACAACGGCCATGGCCGCCTTGATGCCTGTAAAGAGAAGGAGGACGACCTCGAGGACTTTCTTCCTCAGATGCCACAGAGCGAGACACCCCAAAGCATGAGGCCGACTGGCTCTCTCCTCACACTTACACTCCTGGGAGGACTGACCTCTGGACCTATCAGTTGAATCTCAGTGCAAGAGAAAGAAACTCGACCGTAAGACGCAAACCGCAGAGCTCTGCACACGGAACCTTGCACAACCGCCAGACCGATGACTCATAAAGCCCAGCACTGGGCATGCGCACTGCGTCTCGTGCCGCGCACTGACCTGCGTGGACTAGTATCCCCATCCCCCACCCCCACCCCCCACGAGCTCCATGGACAACTTTTGAGTTTGTCCTGTCTGGGGTTCCTGGGGCCTCCAGGACTCAGACACTTCAAATAAAGCCCCTAATACTCTCCACAGCCCACTATCCTCCCTTGACCTGGTCCAGCCACAAGGCCCATGGTGGCCGAGATACTTGGAAGGAGAAAGACCACAACCTACAAGACTTTCTTTCTCTGAGGCTACGAAACATGCTGACCAGACCCGCCTGAAGCCCGATAACTCTCTCCTCACACGTACTCATTCACACCAATTCACACTTACACTTGTCACCAGACAGCAGAGAGCCTCAGTGGAGAATCAGAAAGAGAATGAAAATGGTAAGTACCTCCCAATGCCACCTAAACACAACCTCTCCTGCGTCAACTCCGCCAGCCAGTCGCAAGCCGCAGCGGTATGCGTGGTAACACCAACACTACTGCACAGTGATGTGTGTCACATGGCCCGTGGTTCCAGCCCTCCCTGGATTGCAAGCTCCACCCCACTGGGAGTGGAAAGTTGCTTCCCAGTCCCAGAAGGAATTTTCCTTCCTTTCTCCACCCCCCAAAAACCTTCAGTCTTTGTCTAGGAACGTTCTCAACGCTGTATTTCACCTGCTTATTGCCCCTCCAAATCTTCCTCACAGTACAGACGCCTCAGTGGCCTTAAGAGAGCCTGTAGTCTCCCCAAAGATGCGTGAAAGCTTTTTTTTTAGGGTCTGAAGAATTGCAAAGCTATTTAAAGCATAACAGGTATCCAGAAAGGTAAAAAGAATTGATAAATCCAAACACATAAGCCTTAAAACTCGCACACATCCTGTGACTGAGCAGTTCTACTTCTAGAGCTTTATGTTAAGGAAACTGCCTTGCACGTGAAAAAAAAAAAAAAAGATGTAGATACATCTTACAAAGCAGCTCATGGTTACGGACTTGTTATATAAGTAAACTTTGGCACATTTTTTTCAATTACATTTTACATTCAATATTGTTTTGTATTAGTTTCAGGTATACAACATAGTGGTTAGATAATCATATACTTTGCAAAATATTCCAATATTTCCAGTACACACCTGGCACCTACATAGTTATTACAATACTAATGATTTGAATACTATTCCTATGCTGTATTTTACATCCCCATGACTATTTTTGTAACTACCAATCTGTACGTCTCAATCCCTTCACCTTTTTTCACCCAGTCCCCCACCCCCCATACCCTCTGATAACCATCACTCCCACCTCTGTATCTATGACTTTGTTTCACTTTTTTGTTTATTTTATTATTTAGATTCTACATGTAAGTGAAATCATATGCTATTTGTCTTTCTCTGACTGACTTATTTCACTTAATATAATTAACCTCTGTCACAAATGGTAAGATTTCCTTCTTTTAAAGGCAGAGTAATAATTGCTTGCTTCCATTTCATTTCATTCTTTTTCTGGGGTTTTCTCCTGTTCTTTTGTTTGGGGCATGTTTCCCTGTCTCCCCATTTTGGCTGCCTCTCTGTATTCGCTTCTCTGCATTAGGTATATCTGCTATGTCTCCCAGTCTTGATAGAGTGACCTTATATAGTAGGTAGGTATCCTGTGGGGCTCAGTGGTGCAGTCTCCTTGATGACCTGAGCTAGGTGCTCCAGGAATGTACCTTGTGTGGGTTATGTGAGGCCTCCTGTTGATCCTCACCGAGGACATTTTTCCATTATTTTTTTAGGGAGAGTAGAAGAGAGAGGGAAACAGACAGAAACATTGATGTGAGAGAGACACATCGACTGGTTGCTTCCCACACACACCCCTACCAGGGCCAGGGATGGAGCCTACAACCAAAGGACATGCCCTTGACCAGAATCCAACCCGCAACCCTTCAGTCCTTGGGCCAGCGCTCTAACCACTGAGCAACCAGCCAGAGCTGTAAATGAATCTTGATGAGTCTTGATGAGTCTCATCTGTGGGTGGGGTTGAACCTCAGGCTGGCTGACAATGAGGATTGACCCTGACCACAGCATATGGGCTTCTGTGTAGGGGCTGACCCTATGAAGCAGAATTCATTCTGGGGCCAACAGAGATCTCCCTTTGGTTGTACCACTTGTGGAGCTAATTGGGTCGTGCTCTAATCTGGTCTGAAGCCCACCATTGAGTGTTTTAGTCCTGGGGCCTCTTAGGAAGGACTCCAGTGCAGGTCAATGTCAGACACTGCTTGTGATCAGACCTGGGCTACCTGTTTGGAGGTACAAAGAGATCAACACTTTGTGGCTGCCTCTGCTGGGACTGGGTGCATGCCAGAGGGGCCAAGCTGCATATCAAGGCCAGCTTAGGGTTTGGTCATTTTTAAAGTAGTCAGTTAGGATCTCAATGGTGTTATGAGTACTAAAGCCATTTCTAGAATATCTCTGTTTGAATCTGCCATCAAATCCCAAAGCATAAGTATTTCAAATATATACAACTGTGGCAAAAGTGTGTTTGAATATGAACTTTCATGTTGTAAACTGTTCAGATGATATTTAGAATCACATCTGGTCCATAAGGTAGGGAATGCAAAGGTAAAATACCACTGGACCCTAAACAGGCTGAGGCTGAGTGGGAGTAGAGCTGATTTCTTTGTGTATTTCTGAAAACCAGGCCTAAAAAGGGAACAAAAGGAAGGCTTTATGGTCTGGCTACAGCTTCTGAAAATAAATGCAGCCTCTTTAACAGACCTACTAGGAAGGCAAGCACTTAGTGAAAATGAGAAACATCTAGGCATAGAGCAAAGAGCAAGCCATTTGAAGCCCTGGAAAGACGAGTTAGAATCCCATCTCCACTGCTTCCTCTCTGTGGGACCAAGAATATTAGCTCAACATATATGAAATTCAATTTCCTCACCTGTAAATTGTGTTTAGTAATCTTATCTTTTAGGACTCTTAGGGAAAAAGAACACCCTTTGTAAATATTCAACTCAGTTCTTGGTTATACATACACTCAATAAATGATGTGTTCTCATAAATATTATCATTATTATTATGGTTAAATTTTTCTAAAACTACCTGTACTTGGTAGTTATATTTTTATTGGGCTTGTGTTCTCCATGAAAACAAAGGTTTTTGGCAGATACTAGTATTTGAGGCGCAAAAAAAATAAAGTAGATTTCTGAACAATTCCTTCTCCCCTCCCTTTTTTATCTGCTTCTTCCTCATAATTTTGCACACCATGTGTCTTCTTAATGATTACCATTTTCTCCATTTAGAATGAACTCCTTTGTTTGCAAGTGAAAAACTACAGCCAGAACCTATTTTTCTTTGTCCAAGACCACACCCAAGTTAGATCCTGAGTGCACCATCAATGTATTGTCTGATCCCAAATGAAGTGATCTTGCCACTTTACCACCCGCTGCTTATCCTGCCAATGTATTTCAAAGAGCTAGCAGTCATTGAGAGTTTACTCTGTGAACTTAACCAAAGCTATTTCACTGTCACACTCATAACCCTAAAAAGGCAAAAACGATTACTATTCTCACTTTACAAATGAAAATGCTGATGTTCAGAAAGAGTAAGTAATTTCCCCAAGGACACACAGTGGCCATGTTATAAAAGACACTTGTCCAAACAGAAAAGACTTCATAATTACGGGAATCAAAATACAAAGATGGGCCTGGCCGGTGTGGCTCAGTGGTTGAGCATTGACCTATGAACCAGGGGGCCATGGTCCAATTCTTGGTCAGGGCATATGCCCAGGTTGTGTGCTTGATCCCCAGTGTGGGGCGTGCAGGAGGCAGCTGATCGATGTTTCTCTCTCATCAATGTTTCTGGCTCTCTATCCCTCTCCTCTCTTTAAAAAATCAATAAAATATATTTTTAAAATAAATAAAAATACAAAGATGGGATGGCATCTATGTCCACCTTTCTACCACTGACTTCCCAGCTGTAGTTGCATGAGCTCCTGCATGCAGGTCTGGGTTCCTACCTGGAAAGCCCCCCTTTTGGCCTCTTCCTGAACCAAATATCTAGTCACAACTGGAGGGGGAGGAGTCTCCAAAGAATGTGGAGACCCTGGGTTTAGTCAGCAAAGTCTAAAGCCTGAGCTCTTTTGTTTTTTAATTTTCAAAGAGATAGAAACATTAAGGATTAGAGAGAATAATTGATTGGCTGCCTCCTGCACATCCCACACTTGGGATCAAGCCCGCAAACGGGGCATG